TTTTCTTTCTCAGTCTTAATCTTGTTTTAATAAAAGCACAAAGCTAATTTTTAAAGGAAAAAATCACTTCTGATATACCTAGGCTGCTAAAAAGCAACTCATCTATTCTTGGGATTTGGTTGCGATAAAATTTTTATTTCAAGGCACAGGGGTTTAGGTACGCAACAGTGTCATTTTAGAAATAGAGTAGAATAATTTTAATAATCAAGTAGTTTGATTTTTTTTTTTAAAGATCAATGCCAATCTTGCTTGTCAAACCTAAATTGCTGCTGGTTAATGACAGAAATGAGAGCCTTCTCTTACAAGCACATTTTTGCTATAATGTCTCTAGCTCCATTCTTATTTTGACTAAAATTATTATTTCTTACATAAAGCAAGCTATATGAATTTAAATATCAAAGCATTTACAGATTTTACTACTATAAATAGAAAAAAATCCTAAGAAAATACAGTAAAAATAAATTAGTGTTTACATTTTATAAGACCATACAGTTTGCTATTAAAGGTTTTCTTTAATATCTACCAAATAGTTACTATGAATTTCACTGACATGTTATATATTTTAATGTAACAATCTATAATGAAGGTCATAATTAAGGAAGTGCTATCATCTTTAATGCTTTTATTAAAAAGGCCCTTATTTGAAAGGTCAATTTTTTGCAAGTACTCATTGATGGGAGCTAATAATCTATGATAATCTGTGTAAAAAATAATATTCTAGTTACCTGAAATCACATTTTATCAAGTGTAGTAAACTATATGCTACAATAATTCAATGTCTTCTTGCTAAAAAAGCAGATTTCCAGGACCATACTAAACCTATCAGAATATCTGGGCGCATGACCTGGAAATCTGTACCTTAAAAAAAAGCAAGTCTCTAGGCGTTTTGATGCAAAATAAAATTACAGTCACTCACTGTTTCAGGGTTTCTAAAAATCTGGATCCATATTCATTTTTAACTGTATATTATTAGGAAGAAAGGCAAGTTTGCACAATTGACCAAATTAGAAAATGTCCAACTGGCATGACTATGAAGACATTACATAGCACAGCACTATTAGGACTTGTGAAGGTATCACGCTGAAGGCGAAGGAGAAATGGAGGAACTATTCAGTGCCTCCTAATAAATATGTGGGTTTTAGTGACTTCAGAATTCTTTCACATATACTGTCACATTGATGTGGTATAAGGGCCAATTTCCATCCAAACACAATTGCCTAATTACAAATCATTAAAAAGCCCACGATTCCATTTTGGTACTGCTAAACATGAAATATTTGTGATTCATTCATGCAAGCTTGGCTGACACAAATAAGTCACATCAGGTGTATGAAACCAAACCACTGATGTTATGTATAATATAACAAGTTTATACAGCAGTTCCTATGTAGTTGCTGATTTAATTCTGTATTTTTAAAGAAGTCACATTACTTTTGAAAATAAAAATGCACATTTCTAATTGTGTATACTTCCTGTCACACTTCAACTTCACACTATAGCCAAATTGTATAATTATTTTATATTTATCTTCATGTTTCAATAATTTAAAAGTTTATAAAATAAGAAATTATTCTGGTACCTCCAAAAATCTGAATTGGGAAATAAAAGGTAGAGAAAATACCCCTGCTACCTATGCCCACAGTTCTTTGTACTTCCCTTATCTTAAAATTTATCAAAGTTCATACACTTATTTAATTATCTGCCTCTCCAGCTACAATGTAAACTCTAGGACCGTGAAAACTAGTCCATGTTACATCCCCAGTTCCTTTGATAGTGCACAACATATTGTAGATGTTCAAAAATAGCTGTGAATCAATTAATAAATAAATGACATCAGTGATCTTACCTGGTACTTAGGACACTGGTCTTTTGCATCAGAAGATGAAGTCATAGAACTATCTAAAGAGGAAGAGCTGTCTCCTCCAGGTTTCAGTTGGCAGCATTTCCCAAAGACTTTAACTTGAGCATCACTACAGAGTTTCTGAAAGAGATATTATCCTCATTCATACTTTAACTGATTTTTAGCCATACACAAATTTAATAGTATAAAAACCCTTGGAAAAATCAAAGATAAAATCATTCAAAATAATATAACCTAAATATAATGACTATTTGCATTTTACCATATTCTCTCCAATAATGTTTTATATTTTTTGTCTCACAACTATAATAATATTTGTGGCGTTTGTATTGTACTTATCTCACCAACATTATTAAGTTATGGGGATTTTTCTATATTACTATGGTCTACACAAAGTTCATTACTAGTGACAATAATATACTGCAGGAGTTTTCAAATTATTTGGTCTCAAAACACCTTTATGCTCTTAAAAATTATTGAGACCCCACCTCAAAGGCCTTTTGTTTATATAAGTTGTATCTATCAATATTTTCGAGTACTTTGAAGGTGACCATACCAGCAATGAGGTGTGTAGCCCTTCTTCTAGGATGAGTTCGCGAACTTAATTGTCTGACCTCCTGTAAGCATGATATAACTTTTCCTTCTCTCTTACAGAAAAGGTAAGTAATTCAGTTCTGCCCTTGCTTTATGTTACACTAATGTCCTGGAGAATCTTTCCATCTATTTTTACTAATCTTCCTCATTCTTTTTTTAAGTACAGCTGCACAGTATTCCGGTGTGTAAATATACTATACCTTATTTAACCAGTCATTTGTTAATGACATTGCAGGTTGAACTACTGGGTCAAAACATAAATACATATAATTTTGGAAGATATTTCCAATTACCCTCCATGGAAATTGTACATTTCACTCACTTTAACAGCAAAGTCTTGCTTGTCATTCAAAGTTTGGGTTATTGCCACTCTAAAAGGAAAGAACTACCATCACAGTAGTTTTAATTTTGATTTCCTTTACTATGAATGAGAGTAACAATCTTTTTAAATATGTAATGGCCATTCATATGTGAACTCTTTGCTCTTGTTCTTCACCCAATTTTCTACTAGGTGGTTTTCCTGTCTTGATTTCTAGGAACTAGAAAGATTGGCCACTTAGTTTTAGATTGTAAAAGTGTTTTCCCAGGGTATCATTTGTCTTTTAACTTTCCTTATGGTGGTGTTTTCTTTTTTGTTTCTTTTTGCTTTATTTTGTTCACCACACATTTTTTTTTAAATTTGTTTGTCAAATTTATCAGTCTTTACTTTATGGCCTCTGGATTTTAATTTGTAGCTAGCAAGGTCTTCTAAACTACACAGTTATATACAAAGTCACTCATTTTTTTTCTAATGTTGTAGTTTTATTTTTGTGCATTTAAATGTTTAACACTTGAGCTATAAATCCAAATTTATCTTTCTTCTAAATAGCCATCTAATTGTCTCTATATCATTTATTAATCTTTACCTTATTGATTTAAGATGATTTATCAAACACTAAATTCCTGCATGTATTTGGATCTATTTCTGATCCTGTATTTTGGTCCATTAGTCTCTCTATTTTTGTGACAATAACATATTGTTTTAATGATGGAGACTTTACTGTATATTTCCAAATCTGGTAAGGTTTGGTCATCCCCACTGCCCTTCTTTTGTTTTCCAAACATTATTGCAAATTTTTTCTATCTGAACTTTTTTAGACTATGCTGTCTGGTTCCAGACACAACGCCCCACCAAATAAATAAATATGGTTGGCATTTTTATTGAGATAGCAACATTTTACAAAGTAACTTAAAAAGAATGGAAAACTTTATGACACTGAGAATTATCCAAGAATATATTTTGCCTTTCCATTTGCTCAAGTAGCTTTTATGTACTTCAGGAGACTTTTGAAAGTTCTAAACATATAGGTTTTGTTAAGTTTCTGCACATGTACTTTTAAAAACTTATTTTAAATCGAGTTTTGGCTTACTTCATATCTTCTAATTGAAAGCTATTTGTATATATTGAGCTTACTGATTGGTGTATATTAATTTTTATACAGCTCCAACTACTTAATCAAATCTTATGTTCCAAATCTGGTATCATAATTAAGCCTCAACTATTAACACTTGTACAATGCTTTAGAGTGAACAAACCCTCACACATTGTAATTTGTATTCACCCTTCCAAAGTTATGTGAATTTTCTGATGTACAACTTTATCCTTGTGTATAACCAATGAAGGCTGAAACGTGAATAATCATATAACTTCACAGGGAACTCATGAAATAGCACTGCATTATCATTAAAACATAAACAATGTCCAGAATAATGATAGTATCATGTGATCAAACCAAACTGGATCCATTTGGCTATATCAGTGTTCAAAGAAACCACATCTCAATAATTTTTACATTTCAGCTATAGGATAATAAGGTCTGAGGGTCGAACACACACAAAAAATAAATTTTTGCAAACAAGCTAAGTTCCTTTATTAAAATCACTGAATGTATTCAATTTAATCAGGTTTTAAAGTTCAACAGTCATTTTTCATAGAACATAACAGTTACAAAATATATGTTCTGAGAAAGCTATACATTGATTAATAAATTTTATTCCAGCATTATAAAACAATATTTAGGCATGCAAAGTACTTTATTTCTAAAGCAAATCAAAGCATTTATGTAATTCACTAATCACAGAATTTAAAATGTAATAAAATACACAGCTCCCTCATTTCCTCTCCAAACCCATTAAATATCCTCTAAATACACAGTATTAGCTTTGTGTGGAAATACAGAAATGATCTGCTTATCCTACAACAAGGTGATGTCATGTTCTTCAAAGAGAATTCCTTGGTTCAACTGAACCCAGAAATGAATCAGTATTTCATTGTAAAATACTGCCTTCCCTCCCATCCCACATGAAAGCTACTCAATAAACTAAATTATGATCATCTATCATCTTTACAAAGAAAACGGTCATGTGTCTTATTTAAAGGGACCTCAATAAGTATTTTTACAATGGCCATATCTTAATGCTGATGTAGTTTCAAAGTAAACAAAGTTCATTAATCTGATTTTGATCCAATTAATTACACTCGAACTTCTTTAGTAAACCCAAGTGTTAGTATCTTCTACTTTTACTTGATAGCTTTCAAACATAATCCTGAAATTCAGAATCAGGCTAATATCAAATTGCCTAAGAAATTTATAGATGTTTTCAAATTAGAACTGTTATTTGAAACATTTGTTATTTGAAAATTAAATTAGAAATGTTAATTTCTTTTTGGTAAAGGGAGCACAGTAAAGCAATTTGGTAGAACTCACATTCTAATGCTTGGTTCTCCCATTTATAATTCATGGTATTATTTTCTCAATGTTAAGATAGAACTTTTTCTAAATAAAAACTTTTCGTAAATTATATGGCCATTTATAATCCTTATTCTCTCTTGTAGATTGTTTTAAACTAAGAAAAATAAAAGACGTAAGCAGTGACTTCCACACTTATCAGATCTAAATGGAAGGTTGCTGTGCAAAGACAAGGCTGAACGATTTACCTTCAGTCAGCAAACTGCTAAGGCCTAAATTATCTCATCAGTATGTATGGATCCAACATTTTGTATAAGTTTAAAATTATCATTTATATAACATAGTTTTCCTTTGCCCTTACAGAATCCACATGATTTGATGTTCCAATTGCACAGGCACAATAAAGTAAATGAAAAAATTATGGAAAGATCAAACAACTTGCAATTGGGGGAAACAATGGGCATTTCAAGGTGTTCTGTAGTGTTTAAAAGGAACATATGAAATCTTCATGAAAGTATTTCCAGGATTTTGACAATAAACTTCCTAACTGTAATTACAATTGATCAAATATGTCCTGAGTACTTAAAACATGTGAGGCAGTGTGCAGTTTAGGAAACAAAGTTGAATAACAGAGAAATTTTTTAGTACTTTGTTTTTTTCCCTAGTTTAATAACAAGTACACATATAAATATAGCTATAATACAGAAGTCTATGAAAGACAGCAAAGGATTATTAGAATTCTAATGGAGGAGAAAAGAAATATACCTAGAGGAATCAAAAAGGATTCATAAAGTTCTGATAAAATGAACCTTGAAAGAGGATAAATCTTCATTTAGGGAGATGGCATGTAGTCTGAGGACATACATGACAAATGAGACTAGGGCTATTCAAAGCTGTGATTTCCAGTCACTGATGAATCTCGAGAAAATTTTTAAAAAGAAGAAGTAGGCTTACAGGAAGATGTCAGAGGAATGAGGAATGAGTGGTTGGTATGAGATTAGAGCCAGTACACAGATTACTATTGAGACACAGAGAGACGAAGAGAAACAGAAGAGAGACCAAGAGGTGGAAAGGAGAGTCTGAGAAGTGACACTGAAGACAACCTGACAGAGAGAGACACCAGCAGATACCGAGAAGGAAGGCTGAGAGGGATAAAGACAGAAAAAAAAAGACAGAAGAACACATACAAAGGAGAAAGTAAAAGGAAAATTATTTTGCTGGTGTTGGGTAAGAGGCTTTGTGAATGTTTGCAGGCAAAGAAGAAACGCTAACAGAGGGAAGAAGGAAGACATCAGCAAAAGAGAAGGCTAGTGAGCCTAACAAAACACTACCCCAGAGAAGGTGAACAAAAAGGGTTTAAGAAATGGCATGAGTCCAGAATCACAAGGCTGTTTAAGATAAAAAGGAAGAGTGCTGAAGAAACACACAATGAACAGCATTGAGATAAATAGTAAAGGAGAGGTCATATGCTGTAATTCATTGGAACACTATCAAGAACAAAAAAAAAAAAACACCTCAATCAGTATTTGCTAAAAAAAATAATCAAAACAGTACTGATTAATCAACTGTCAATTTATCAGACTCAGCCCAATTCTGAAGAGCTATCAGCAGTATAAATAAAAAGAAGACATGCTTAGCACTTCTGCAGCTACCCTTAGATTTCAACTGTCTGCTTAACCATCTATAATTCTATGACTCTTTGGCATCTCACCGCCCAGCTATTCAAATCAAAGGCTGGTTCCACCAAAACACTTTCTTCTCCCTCATCACCCACATCTAACCATTCTCCACATAGCAGCCCCAAATGATTTTTTTCACTATATTTTGAAAATTGGGATATAAATGACAAATGACATTAATTTCAGGTGTACAACATGATGATTCGTTATTTGTATATACTGGGAAATGATCTCCACAATATGTATAGTTAACATCCATCACTATGTATAGTTACAAAAATTTTTTTCTTCTGATGAGAATTTTAAGATGTACTTTTAGCAACTTTCAAATATATAATAAGTATTATTAACTATTATCATCATAATGTACATTATATCACGTGACTTATTTCATTAACTGGAAGTTTGTACCTTTTGACCCACTTCACCCATTTCACCCACCTCTCACAACCACCTGTCTGTTCTTTGTTATCTATAGATTCAGTTCTTTTTAAATGCCTCATATAAGTGAGACCATACATACACGTTTGTCTTTCTCTTTCTCATTTATTTCATTTATCATAATGCCCTCAAAGTCCATCCATGTTGTTGCAAATGGCAAGATTTCATTCTATTTTATGGCTGAATAATATTCCAATGTATGTATGTACCACTTCTTTATTCAATCATCTATCGATGGACACTTAGGCTGTTTCCAAGTCTTGGCTATTGCAAATGCTGCTGCAATGAACGTAAAGGTTCAAATACCTTTTCAAATTAGTGTTTTTACTTTCTTTGGATAAATATCCAAAAGTGGAATTGCTGGATCATATGGTAGTTCTATTTTTTATTTTTTTATTTTCTGAGGAAACTTCATAGTGATTTCAATAGTGGCTACACCAACTTACATTCCCATAAACAGTGCACAAGAGTTTGCTTTCCTTCACATCCTAACCCACACTTGTCTTTTTGATGATAGCCATTCTAAAAGGTGTGAGGTGATTTCTCATTATGGTTTTGATTTGCATTTCCATGATTAGTGATTTGAGCATCTTCCCATGTACCTGTTGGCCATCTGTATGTCTTCTTTGGAAACATGTCTATTCAGATCCTCTGCCCATTTTTTAAATTGGATTGGTTGGGGTTTTCACTATTGAGTTGTATGAGTTCTTTATATATTTTGGATATTAGCCTCATCAGGTATATAATTTGCAAATATTTTCTCCCATCCGGTAGGTTGCCTTTTCATTTTGTTGATGATTTCCTTTGCTGTGCAGAAGCTTTCCATTTTGATGTAGTTCCACTTGTTGATTTTTGCTTTTGTTGCCTTTACTTTTGGTATCAAATCCAAAAACTTACTGCCAAAACTCATGTCAAAAGAGCTTGCTTTCTATGCTTTCTTCTACGAGTTTTATGGTTTCAGATCTTACATTTAAGTCTTGAATCCATTATGACTGACTTAGTTTTGCATATGGTCTGAGGTAATGGTTCAGTTTCATTCTTTTGCATGTGGCTGGCCAGGTGTCCCAACAGCATCCATTGAAAAAGACTATCCTCTCCCCATTGCATATTCTTGGCTCCTTTGTCATAAACTAATTGATCATATCTGTGTGAGTCTATTTCTGGGCTCTCTACCAAAATGATTTTTGTGAAATGTAAACCAAATCCCTTTAATGGTGCCCTCTGCATTTAGGATATAATCCAAATTTCTAACCCAGAGACCTATGAGGGCCTAAATACACTGGCTCCTGCTCCATCTGTCTCCAGCTTCTTCTCTAGCTACTATCATTTCAGCCAGACTTGCCTTCTTTTAGTTCCTTTAATTCACCAAACTCCTAAGTCACTTTGTACTACATTTTCTGATCTTACTACAAGGAATAGTCACCCCCCCATGCCATGCTTTAAGTTTCTTAAGATCTCAGCTTGAATTTTGCTTCTACGTTAAGACCTTCCTCAACACCCCTACACCCAAAATAGTGAATTGGGTTCCTTCCTGTGGAATCTCATAAGCATTCTGTATGTTTTGTTCACAATATTTAATTACAATTTGGAATTATTAATCCATGTATTTATTTATTCAATGTCCACCTCCTCTAAAGGGTGACTAACTGCAGGCACCAAGAGGGCAGAGACTGCTAAATTTCCAAGTGGCTAGTAGATACTTAGTTATCTGCACAAATAAATGATACTTTAAGAACATTTTGCAATGCTTACTTCTTATCAGATTGAAAAAAGTGTCCAGATAATGGCTACGAAACCTAAACAAAGCACAAACTCCAGAAAATTGAGAAATGTGTTAGTAATTACAAGGACACAGTAAATCTGGCAATCAAAGTAACTCAGAAAATGTACCTTTGATATTACATGACACTGCAGCAGACGCTGAGGATGGAGCTGTAAACAGGACCACAGACTATGGCCAAAAGATCCAACTTTTGTAAGAACAGAAAAATCTCAAATACAAACTCCTGAATCTCAAAAATAAATATTTGTTTGCTTTAACGGACAATTCTACTGGTAGGAAAAGCTTTCCCAAAGTATTTTGTTTTCAGTTGTTTACTGAAACACTAGTGAAAATTGCCATTTTAGGGGAGGGGGGGAAGACACAATTCCAGGGTTGCATTTCCAGATTACAGGTCCATTGGACTGAATCTTTATGCCAGAAAGTGCAACGGCAATAACCACAGTAGAGATAACCACAATCGCCTAGGTTTTCTGGGATGACCAAGTGAATGTCCATTACTTGTAGCACTACTGCTACAGTAGTCATAAAATATTTCAAAATAAAATGTTGAAAGGAACAGAATAGATGCTCTTGCTACCACTGTAGAGTAGGGAAAACATGACAGATTAAGGGCTGCAGATTTTAACTTGCTTAGCACCTTCAGACAAATAATTTCAGACAATTTCATTTCTTTAGGTCACACTTTCCACAACTGTAAGATGAAAGGTTTGGACCAGATCCTCTAAGGATCCCTATAGCTCTAGTCATATCTCTCAATATAATTACATAAGGAAATAAATGTCAAACTAAAATGTTCTTTGGTACTAGACTGATGACAAATAAGGCAACTTTCTTTTCCTTTAAAAATTCTCAAAATCAGGGCTCTGAATTATAAAAGCATGGCAAAGATGTTTTGTACTGACAAACAAAAGTAACATAATTGAAATTTTACCCACTTTCTTGAATTAAAATATCTGACATTAAATTTCAACCAAATCAATAATGATGCTCACCGATACTGATATGTCCTCATTTTTCCTCTTAACACTGGAGTCAAACAAGACATTTCTCCCTCGTCTTTCACAGTCTTGATATACAATCAGTCGAATTTGGCTTGGATCAAACTCTGGCAGAGGCCAACTTTAAAGAAAAATAAAGATCCATTAGAATTATTTTAATAAATATTCCACATAAATTTCCAGAAATAAAACCTGTATAACAAAACCCAAAGTTGTATTATTGCCAAAAATATAGAGAGAGCTTTTTATAAAATACAACTATTTAGGGCTGAAAACTTATACAGCTGACATTTTAGATTAAAAAATAAAAGTTGTGGCAAATATCACTCAGTGTATATAAAATATAGTCATCCCATATTAACCTAAAAATAGCTAACTTAAAAATTAAAGAATACTGCAAAAATACGTATTGATTTCATGTCATGGACTCAGATATTATTAAGGTTAAGCCACATTTTTAAATAGTTTTGTTACTGTTTTTTTAATATGAAAATGTAAAAACAAAAAGAGTTTTCAGTTTAAATAACAGTAATTAAGTATTTATAAAACAATAAGTAAAAAATTGATGAATCATAAATAGGGTGGAAATTCTAACATACAGCTGGTCTGAGTAAACATTGGCACCATCTCTTTGGAGAATAACCAAAGAGAATAACCTTCTAAATTATATACTAAATAGACAAAAATCTAGTAAACTTGAAGTTAACTCCAGCAATTCCATTCCAGAAAAGTTTACCATTATATAAGAATGTTCATAGCAGCACTTTTCATAACAGTTGAAAACTGGAAACAATTTAAATAGTGGAATGGGTAAATATATTATGGTATATTCAGACTACGAAATACTACACAACGAACACAATAAACAAACATCAGCTATAGGCAAAAACATGGATGGACCATAAGCAAAAGAAATCAAACAATGACAAACACAAACACACACACACACACACACACACACACACACACACACACACACAATGTACTTTTCCATTTATACAAAGGTTTAAATCAGGTCAAGTTTTATCTAGGAATGCACAGTTTTTAAAACTATAAGGAAAACGAAGTGGTGGCTTCAAAGTTTGGAGAGTGGTTATGTCTGGGAGTAAGGTGGAGGTGATATGGGAGTGTAACCAGGAAGGGACATACCAGGTGGATTGGAGCACTACTATGTTCTGTATTTTAACTGGACAGTGCTTAATGGATGTTCATTTTACAGTACAAAAAAAAAAAAGCTAACACATTTGTTTTATGTACTTCTATTATGTATTTATTTCATAAATAAAAAGGTTGATGGAGTGAGATAGGGAGAAAAGGGAAAGAGAGAAATCAGTAAGCTGTGTGGTGTAGATAATGGTCTCATGAGCTGAGCACACTACAATTGATGGGATAGTTGCTAAGAAACAAGAGAACTGCCTTTTTCCAAGAGCTGTTTGTCATTAGTTACATTAGGCTGAATGGTCAATTCCCCACAATCCATCAGTCATAGCTCTTGATTGGGTTTCTTCATTTCCTTAAGAAAATCTTAACCTTAACTCTACCAATGCATGTTTAAAAAAATCTCGTAACTGGCAACATAAAACATCTTCATCCCAAATTCTTGATAGTAAATACAATTTTAGCTTTCTCCTGTCTAATCCTTAGCAAATGTCCTTGTGTTAGAAATTGATGGAAGACCCTAGACATTCGAGCTAAACCAGAGATTCATCCTTAGACCACAATGATTTGCTTTTGTTAAACTGTGCTTTGATGTTATGCAAAGGAAACAGTAAAAGAACGGATAGACATAGGATTAAAATCAGGAAAGTGGTCTCATGGAAAACAAGAAAGAAAAGCATTTTAGAGAGGAAGAAGAAATACCATGACAGTCACTAAAAAGCATTCACTAGCTTTAGAAATATAGCTGACATGATGAGAGTGGAATCTAAGCTAGTTAGGGAAGACAGTGAAGGTTGGAGGCTAGAAGATTTGAAGAAAATGGAGGCAGTGTGGTCAAAGTGCTGAAATAACATCAAGAGGTATAGTGGGGAGGTAGGGAGATAAGCAATAGGAACTATAACCACAGGATAGAATATTAAAGTTTAAGATATAAGAGGTACAACAGTTCATTCATTCATTCGATACAGATATGTGCCTACTATGTGCCAAACATTGGTTGGGGCGAGATAATAAAGAACCTGCTCTGGAAGCAAGAGACGCAGTAGCTAAGAAATAAATGAACATAATAATTTTAGGTAAGTGACAGATGAAATAAATCAAAACAGGTAATCAACAGACTGTGACAGAGGAGGTAGTAAGAGGACAGTGTGGGAGTAGGAGAGATATATTCATTTTTTAAATGCCTATGTGGACAAAATTCTGGAAAAAATGAGAAGTTGGGTTTTCCTGGATGTGAGGTCTTCCAACAGACCTTGAATTAGCAGTGACCCCCATTTCATTCATCCAAACCCGTTTGGTCTCCAAAGCACCCAAAAAAATCACCTCCAAAGTACTTTGCTTAGATGTAGAAATGTTCGCAATCAGGCCCTGATCTGCCTTTCCAGAACTCCTCCGTGTTACCCATAATACCATCATGCTGATCTCAGAGGTGCCAGGATATACTGGGCTGCTTCAGAGTTCCGACTTTGGTACGAGCAACTTCTTCTACCTGAAATATCCTCAACCACCTTGGCAAATGCCTACTCATTCTTAAAGATCTAGCTCAAATGTCACTTCCTTGGAAGCCTTTACTAATTCCTCCAGTAGAGTTAGTGCTGACTTCTGAGATTACACTTATTTTAGATTGTAATGCTAATAGTATTTTCTACATTATACTGGAAATGTTATTTGTTTACATGCCTGTTTCTTCCATTAGAAATAAACCTCCCTGAGGGCAAAGCTTATTCATCTCCGAATCCCTAGTCCTAAGTATATTAAATCAGTAAAAACTACATACCCTTAAATAAAGGCAACACTACAGGCATTAAATAAATATGTCATGAGTACATGGATTGAACTATAATATTCCACAATATGAAAAAATAAAACGAGCTTTCTTTACAAAGTTAAAAAGGCCTATCTATCAACTGATGAATAAGCAAAATGTGGTATATCCATACAATGGAATATTATTTGGCTATTTAAAGGATACAGGCTACAACATGGATGAACCTTGAAATCATTATGTATGCCTAAGTGAAAGAAGCCAGTCATAAAAGGCTACATACTGTTTGATCCCATTTATATGACCTGTCCAGAATAGCCAAATCCATTGTGACAGAAAGTGAATTAGTGGCTGCCCAGGAAGGGTGGGGTGGGGGCAAGGGGAGATGACCTGCAATATGTACAGGGTTTCTTTTCTTTATAGGATGATGAAATGTTCTGGAATGAGAGATGGTTGCACAACTCCGTGACTACAAAAAGCCACTGAATTCTACACACTTTAAAAGGGTGAATTTTATAGTATATAAAATACAGCTCAACAATAATAAAAAAGTTAGAATGCTGTTCTCCCTAACTTACTTAACCCTCCATCAGGCACAACTGATCTCACAGATTCATTGCACAAAAATTTTCAAATATCTAACAGTTAACTTAAGTATCGTGACTCATCACTTCTGTATCTTCCCCCCTACCATAATCTATCGCCAGTCCTGTTTGTGACTTAGTACAGTAGAGACGTATTTCATAAACAGCATCTTTGTGTGCAATGAATCTGTGAGCTCAGCTGCGCCCGACGGAGGGCTAAGCATTTATAAAGTATACTCTGTTAATTCAAATTAAGACTGTGTATAAAAGCTAAAATTATAAAGCTTTTAGATAGAAAAAGAAGAATATCTATGCAACCTTTGGGTACACAAAGATTTCTTAAATAAGACACAAAAATTAGTAAGCATAAGAAAAAATTGAAAAATTGGACTCCATCAAAATTTAAAACCTGCACATCAAAAGGCTGAGTTGTTTTCAAAACAAAAAGGCCAGCCAAAAACTGGAAGAATATTTGTGAAGTATATAACTAACAAAGGCCCTGTAAACAACCTACAAAGAACTACAAAGCAATAAGACAAATAATCCAGTTTTTAAATGGGCAAGAGACTTGGGTATTTCATATAAGGAGATATATGAGTGAACGAACAAAGCACATGGAAATGATGCTAACAGTATTAATCATCAGAAAAATGCAAATTATAACCCTTCTGCAACCATAAAATAGCTAAAATTAAAAGGGCCAATAATACCAGTTGCTGGTAAGAATATAAAGCACTTGGGAATCTCGTGCATTGTTGGTATGACTACAAAAGGGTACAATCATTTTGGAAAATATTTGGCAGCCATGACCCGGCAATTTTACTAATAGGTACATTTACTCATAGGTACATATCCAACAGAAATGAAAATACATGTCAACAAAGACTTTCACAGAAATGTTCTTTGCAGCTTCATTCATTAACAGCAAAAACTTGGGAACACCTCAAATGACCATCAATGGGAGAATGGATAAACGAACTATGATATATTCCTACATTGAAATACTACTCAGAAATACACAATAACAAAGATGAACTCTAAAACATTGTTCAGTGAAAAAATTCAAACACAAAAGCATACATATTGGTAATTCCATTTACATGCAGAAATCAAAACAGTGGTTGGCCCATGGGGATATAAAAGACAGTTTGGGGAATATAATCAATAATGTTGTAAAGATTTTGTAGGCTATACGATGGACACTTGTCTTATTAGGGAGACCATGTCATGGACAGTGTAGATGCCTGACCACTGCACTGTATACCTTCAGATGAATGTCAACTATAATTTAATATACATATGTATATATATACATATATATACACCTATATACATATATGTGTATATACATATACATATATACACATGTGTGTATATGTGTGTGTGTGTGTGTGTGTATATATATATATATATATAGTCACAGTATGTGGAGTACAGCATAGGGAATATAGTCAGTGGAACTGTAAGCTATATACAATGTCAGAGGTGTAGTAGATTGGGCAAGAGGGGTTATCACTTTGTGAGGGGTATAAAGGTCTAACTATTACATTGTTTTGTAGGCCCAAAACTAATAAAAATAATAATAATAAAAAACAGTGGTTGGCCAGGGGTGGG